GGTATCTACTGAAGAAGGAATGGCTATCTGGGTGTTCCAGATAACCTTTTTGATTTCTTTCTTTCTTTTTTTAAAGGATATTTATTCCAATTTTAAGATTACAAAAAGAAAGAAAAAACCATACAAAAAAGAATAAAACATATTACAAAAAACAGACAATAAGAAAAACTCAACAAAAAATAGAAATACATTACAATAAAGTATAACAAAAATCAAATTAAACCTTTACAACCTTTTTCCCTTTTACTTACTTCCGTGACTTCCTCTCACCTCCCTGCTTTGTATTCTAGTTTAAATCGTATTCCCAGCAAATCCTTCTAACCTTCTTTTCATTTACTTATTTTAACATTCAATAATGTATTTAATCCTCCTCTATCCTCAGTTTCTACACTTCATTTTTACTTAATCCATTATACCATATCTGCCAAAACGGCCTAATATTCTTTTCCAACCTCTTTCTAACATTCTTTTATATTGCAGTATTTTTGAAGATATATTTTAAATTTTTTCCAATCTTCTTCCATCGACCCTTCTTCCTGGTCTCGAATTCTGCCGGTCATCTCAGCCAGTTCCATATAGTCCATCACTTTCATCTGCCATTCTTCTCGGGTAGGCAATTCTTGTGTCTTCCAGTATTTCCCAATGAGTATTCTTGCTGCTGCTGTCGCATACATTAAAAAGTTTCTATCTTCCCTTCGCACCAATTGGCCGACCATGCCCAAGAGGAAGGCCTCTGGTTTCTTTAGAAAAGTGTATTTCAATACCTTTTTTAATTCATTATATATCATTTCCCAGAAGGCCTTGATCTTTGGGCACGTCCACCAAAGGTGAAAGAAAGTACCTTTATTTTCTTTACATTTCCAACATTTATTATCAGGCAAATGATAGATTTTTGCTAGCTTGACTGGGGTTAAGTACCACCTATAAATCATTTTCATTATATTTTCTCTTAAGGCATTACAGGCCGTAAATTTCATACCTGTGGTCCATAACCGTTCCCAGTCAGCAAACATAATATTATGTCCAACATCTTGTGCCCATTTAATCATAGCAGATTTAACTGTTTCATCCTGTGTATTCCATTTCAGCAGCAGGTTATACATTCTTGACAGGTTCTTAATTTTAGGCTCTAACAATTCCGTTTCCAGTTTGGATTTTTCCTCCTGGAAACCAATCTTTTTATCTAAGTTAAAAGCCTCCCTTATTTGATAATAATGAAGCCAGTCTCGAACTTTAGTTTTTAATTTGTCAAAACTCTGCAGTTTTAATTTATCTCCAACTTGTTCTAAAATTTCACAGTATTTTGGCCAATTTGTCTCCATATTAGTTTTTTTCAATGCCTTAGCCTCCATTGGTGACAGCCACCTTGGTGTTTTACTTTCCAACAAATCCTTATATCTCACCCAAACATTAAACAATGCTTTCCTGACAATATGGTTCTTAAAGGCCTTATGCGCTTTAACCTTGTCATACCATAAATATGCATGCCATCCAAACACATTATCAAAACCTTCTAGGTCCAGAATGTCCGCATTTTCAAGAAGTAGCCAATCTTTCAGCCAGCAAAATGCGGCTGATTCATAATAGAGTTTAAGATCTGGCAGGGCAAATCCACCTCTTTCCTTCGCATCTGTTAATATCTTAAATTTTATTCTAGGCTTTTTGCCCTGCCAGATAAATTTGGAAATATCTCTTTGCCACCTCTTGAAACAATCCATTTTATCCACAATTTGCAATGTTTGAAACAAAAACAACATTCTAGGCAATACATTCATCTTTATCGCAGCAATTCGGCCCAACAATGATAACTTCAATTTTGACCATATTTCTAAATCCTTCTTTACTTCTGACCAACATTTTTCATAATTATCTTTAAACAAATTCACATTTTTAGCAGTCATTTGCACCCCTAAATATTTCACTTTGTTAACTATTGTTAATCCTGTCTCCTTCTGAAACCTCTCTTTCTCAATCTCTGTAAGGTTTTTCTCTAATACCTTTGTTTTCATCTTATTCAATTTAAAACCTGCTACTTGACCAAATTCTTGGATTATTTGCAATACTCTTTTTGTACTAGATTCTGGCTCCTGTAATGTCAAAACTAAGTCATCAGCAAAAGCTTTCAATTTGTACTGTTTAGCTCCGAGTTGTATACCTTTAACCAATTGGTCTTTTCTAATCATATTGAGCAGAACCTCCAGGACCGATATAAAAAGCAATGGGGAGATTGGGCAACCCTGTCTTGTTCCTTTCTCTATCTTAAATTCTTCTGTGACTACATTATTCACGATGAGCTTAGCTTTTTGTTCCGAATAAATTGCACCTATACCATTTTCAAAACTTTGACCTACCCCCATCCCCTGCAAATTTTTCTTCATAAAGTTCCAAGAAATATTGTCAAAAGCTTTCTCCGCATCTACAAATATTAAGACCGCTTTAGTATTAATATTAACTTGCAATTTTTCTAGAATATTAATAATATTCCTCGTATTATCTGACAGATGTCTCCCTGGGAGAAAGCCCGCCTGATCTTTATGAATCTCTTTCACCAATACATTTTTTAATCTTTTAGCCATAATTTCCGCAAAAAATTTGTAATCCACATTAAGTAGGGATATGGGACGGTAGTTCTTCAACTGTGTCTTTTCCACTTCAGTTTTTGGTATAAGTGTAATGTATGCTTCTTTCCACGACTCGGGTGCTTTTCCTCCCCGTAGTATTTCATTGCAAACTTCTTTCAAAGGTTGCATTAACCATTCTTTCAAAGATTTGTAGTACTTTGCAGTTAGACCGTCCGGTCCTGGAGATTTGCCCAAATTCATATTCTGAATGGCTCCTTCCACCTCTTGGTCAGATATTATAGAGTTTAATATTGATTTGCTCTCTTGAGATACTTTTTGTAATCCATTAATTTTCAAAAACCGATCAATGTCTGATTCTTTCTGGGTCTCCTGCGTGTATAGCTGTTTAAAATAATTCTGAAAGCACTTCCGAATCTCTCCAGGATTCTGTATGTTCTTCCCTTCTACTACCAAGTTCGTGATCGTATTCAGCTTTTGTCTCTTTTTCATTTGCCAAGCCAGTAATTTCCCACACTTGTTTGCCGATTCAAAGGTCTTTTGTTTCATCTGTTTGACCTTCCATTCTATCTCCTGATTCATCAGTTTCATATATTGTACTTGGTATAACTTTATCTCTTTTAAGATCTCCTGTGAGTTCGGTTTCGCCCTCAGTCTTTTTTCTCCATCCTTAATTTTCTCCAGAATTTTTTCTCTCTTCTCATTTTGATATCTTTTCCTAATTGCATTTTGTTGTATCAGAAATCCTCTCATCACCGCTTTGCTGGCATCCCAAATCACTCTTTTTTCGGTCGTAGTATTCATATTTATCTCAAAATAGTCTCTCAAATTTTTCTGGGCCTTTTTAGTAATTTCCTCATTCCTAAACAAGGAGTCATTCATCCTCCATCTAAAAGCTCCAATTGGAGTTGGTATCATTTCAATCTTTACTGGATTATGATCAGAGCAAATTTTCGGGCAAATCACCGATTTTTTTATCTTAGGGGCCAGTCCTCTAGTTATCCAGATTTGGTCTATTCTTGTCCATGTCATTTTTGCTTCAGAGAAGAAGGTTCCTTCTCTTTCCAAGGGGTTCTTTATTCTCCAAATGTCCACAAGATCCATATTGTCAGTCATTTCAAAAAAATGTCTTTGGTAATCTTCCATCTTTCGTCACCGTTTGTCTTTGGGCTTTATCCATGTTTGTAGACACTACTCCATTCATATCTCCCATCAAGATAATGTTATAATCCAAATAATCCAAAAGGGTTTCGTGCAATTTTTTAAAGAATTCTGATTTTCCCTCATTTGGTGCATAGACACCTAATATCAAAAACTTCTGTCCCTGAAACTGAATTTCAATTGCTATATATCTTCCTTGATCATCTTTAAATATAAATTTTGGTGACAGGCTTTCCTTTGCGTAGAATACTACTCCTCTTTTTTTCACATTGTCCGATGAAATAAATTCTTCTCCCAATCTTTTATTTATCAAAATTTTCCGGTGTAGCCTTGTCACATGTAGATAACCTTTTTGATTTCTTAGATGTGCATTAATGTGGGTTTTGAATTTCAGTAATTTTTTATTTAGTAGTAGTCGTAGCAGTCATTGTTATCATCTTGCCTTCTACGAAAGTTTCTTAGGGCAATATACCATAAAAACAGCACAAGAAAAATTGAAAAACAACACACAGCAGATATCTTCAAAACTCAAAGCAAAGCAAAACAGGCACCCATGGTCCATACATTTGTCTTGGCGAGGTCTTCTGTCTTGGATAGAGCAGTTTTTTAGGGATGACCAAAACTACATACCTCCCACTGTGACATATTTCTAAATTCTGTACTTCATTCTTTTCAACCTGCAGGAAAATGTTATGGCTGCTGAAAATGAGACTGTGGTGACTGAGTTCATCTTGATTGGATTATCCGAATACCCCAGAGCTCAGGCTGTATTCTTTTGGTTCCTCTTGATTGCCTACCTCATTAGTGTGCTTGGCAATGGACTTATTATCCTGCTGAGTATAAAGGATCCTGACCTTCATACTCCCATGTATTTCTTTCTTTGTGTCCTCTCATCACTTGACCTTATCCTTACTAACAATGCACTTCCAAATATCTTGGTCAACTGCTTCATTTACATGCCCACAATTTCCTTCTCCGGATGCCTGACGCAGATGTACATTGGTTTGTTAGTTGTCGCAACAGAATGCATCATCCTGGCCATCTTGGCATATGACTGATTGGTGGCTATATGCCAACCCTTATACTACATGCAGATCATGAGCTGGAGAGTTTGCATAGCCCTGGTGGCTGTCTCTGTAACACTTTGCTTCCTCTGCACCGTAGTCACAGCCCTGTTGCAACCTAGGGACTTCTGTGGCCGACACATCATCAACCACTTTGCATGTGAGTTACAGTCATTCCTCAAATTGGCTTGCTCAGATACACGTATCAGTGAGTTATTTATGCATATTTCCAGCCTTTTTCTCCTAATACCACCCTTTGGTTTCATAGTTGTGACATATGGGCGCATAGGCCTGGCTGTACTGCGCATCCGTTCAGCACAGGGTCGCAAGAAAGCCTTTTCCACCTGCAGCTCTCACCTTGTTGTCGTCAGTGTCTTCTATGGCACAATCATGATCATGTACTTGAGGCCACAAGAGAAATCGATTTCTGAAAAGGACAAGCTCATATCTCTAATGTATGGAGTTTTGACACCTATGCTCAACCCTTTGATCTACAGCCTGAGAAACAAGGATGTGAAGGGTGCCTTTTGGAAAATGGTTGGAAGGAAAATATCAGAATAAGTATCAAAACATGATGATAAGGTCATAGCTTTCAATTACTTTTATTAGCATAGGTCTGATCTGAAGATACTCGAGGGAAATTGATGTCCTTCACCCATATTTTTTTGTTAATGACATTTAACCAGCCCTGTTCCATTATAGCTCTCAGTTCTGTTAACCAGTTTCCCTCCCAGAGATTCATGTCCCCTAGAAGTGCCCCCCCATCTACATCCAGAATTGAAGGAAACTGCAGCAAGCGGTGACAGCTCTGGACTTGACTTAATTTGAAACCTTTTCCAAATCATATAAATGTTTGGTGTGACAGAGTTTCATTAAAAACTGTATGTTCTCTCCTATTTTTATGGCATAGGGATTTTTTTATTTCAGCAGGTGAACCATTTTGTTTTATTTTTGTTGACAGCAAATTTTGCAAACCTTTTTTTATATTCTGAGCATGGCTGTGTTGTAATAGCATTATATGTTAGGAAATATCAAACCACCTGATATTTGTTGACAGAATGTTTTTGATGTAATTCTGAGTTTCCTGCATGCCCATAAAAAACTTAGATATTCCTATTTTTCATTCATTTGTCACTCATTGTCAGAGGAGTGCCATTGGGACAGGGGAGGGAAGCAGGGGGATACAGAGAGCCTCCAACGCTTCTGAGGAGCAGAAGCAGCTCCTTGTCCAACGGTGGGGAAAGCCACACCTCCAGTGCAGCAGAGGGGGAAGGGGGAAGCCAACTGAGAGCCCAAGCGCCTCACCTAGCCTGGCCAGCCAGGAAACAGGCACTCCCTTTCTGTCGCCCAGTTTGAGCAGAGGGGTGAAGTGTAAGGAGGGGAGGCAGAGATTTGGGGTGTCTAAGTATTCATGCTGGGGGAGAAACCAGAAGGGGCCACTCCTGGAATCTGCAATAGACTAAGATGGACATGAACTTTGGGGTTCTGCACTGTAAATAGCTGCACAAATAAAAACCTGCAAAAGTACTGTGTCCAGTTCTGGGAACCACAGTTCAAGAAGGACACTGACAAACTGGAACGTGTCCAGAGGAGGGCAACCAAAATGGTCAAAGGCCTGGAAACGATGCCTTATGAGGAACGGCTAAGGGAGCTGGGCATGTTTAGCCTGGAGAAGAGGAGGTTAAGGGGTGATATGATAGCCATGTTCAAATATATAAAAGGCTGTCACATAGAGGAGGGAGAAAGGTTGTTTTCTGCTGCTCCAGAGAAGCGGACATGGAGCAATGGATCCAAACTACAAGAAAGAAGATTCTACCTAAACATTAGGAAGAACTTCCTGACAGTAAGAGCTGTTCAACAGTGGAATTTGCTGCCAAGGAGTGTGGTGGAGTCTCCTTCTTTGGAGGTCTTTAAGCAGAGGCTTGACAACCATATGTCAGGAGTGCTCTGATGGTGTTTCCTGCTTGGCAGGGGGTTGGACTCGATGGCCCTTGTGGTCTCTTCCAACTCTATGATTCTATGATTCTATGATTCTAGGTTGGAGTCCTGCCTGGTTACTCGTGAGCAACCACATCACCACCTGACACTCCTGTTTAATATAATAGTATTAGAAACAGAATATCTTTATTTTTTATAAAAGAGCTTCTTCCTGCCCCTGAGAAATTTAAACTTTCCCAGTTTGATAGATCTATTTTTATTTCTCTAATTGATTTGGAATGATTGACTTAGATCTTCCAAATCTCCAGATTCTCAGATATCCAGCTGGGGTCTCCTTTAATCTACGCTTTATGTTTCCCATGTGTGTTACAAAGCTAACTGGCTGGCGCTGTCCACCTCCAGCCACATCAGGCCCCCAGGGAACAGTGGGCAGTGCCCACTTAGCCAATCGGAGGCAGGGGCTTGGGGGTTGCAAGCAGCCTGCCCCTACCCTACTTAAGAGGGCGGCCAGGTGTGAGGATCGTCGTGGGATTTTTCCACCCACCCACCTAGTCCATGGGGGGGGGGGAGTGGGCACGTTGCCTATGAGCCTTGCTATGGTTTATTCAGTCGCCATATCCAGGGCCAAGGGAATTTTCTCCTGCAAGCAAACTGGCCAGCTTGCAGGTTTTGCCTACCTCACAACTTTGGCAAATAAGGCATTGGTCTGGATACTTAATCACAGGGGTCCTGTGAGAGGGGTCCAGGTGGGGTGACTCTGTCCGAGAGTCCACTGGGGGCCAATGAACCAAAACACCCCTCCCAATGGCAGCCTGTGCAGGGTTGGGGCATCCAATCCATGTTGGGGGGTGGCTCCCCAGCATAAGTTCGACCCCACCAGGTTCCTATCAGGAATCCATGTCTCTCCTTGAGGCCATGACACCA